AACGCACCTATTTTCTATAAATTATTGTGTACCTATATTTAATTTATGAAAAATGTACGGAAATTTCAATTACAAAGTAATTGACCTTTTTTTTAATTAATTTTTTTGGTAAATAATATACCTATATTTTTATACATATATATTTATATTTATATTTTTCATATGTACATTATTGGATATGTAATTTACATTTTTTTTTGGCAATTTTAGGGGGCGATATGTTAGAGGGAATGGCAACCAAAAGAAATGGGGTGATTGATATGCTATTAATAGGGAGTTTTAATTACAATTATGGTAGTTAATGAAATGCTTGGAATAAATTATAAATAAAATATGAAGTTTGATGGCAAGGATGTAAAAACGTAGGAATACTATGACCTCTTATATCCTACTAGTCATTTAAGTTTGAAATTGGGTTTTACACATAGATTTATAGAATGATGGGTATATATCTAGGAAATAGAAATTATAGGGACCTATATTGGACAAGCCCTAAATAAAAAATAATGTGGTTAAATCAACAGGTAAAACCGCTGCCTCCATTGTTGTCGGTGTGAAGAGAGATGAGAGAGAGAGCCGGTGAGAAGAGGAAGGTGATGCCCACGAAGGAGGAGGGGATGGGCACGAGGAGGACAGAGGATGGAGAATGATGGGGTCAACGGCTGACGCCACCAGTGGCTGTGGTGGTGAGTAACGGTGGGGAAGAGAAGGGTTTGACTGTTGATTTAACCACATTATTTTTTATTTTTTTATAAAGTGTTAAGGTGGTTGACAGATGGAGAGAAGGGAACGTCTGAGAGAGAGAATAAGAGGGAGAGAGGAGATAGAAAAAACCTGGGGTGAGAGTTGCAGACGCGGGGATGGAGGGGCAGAGATGACCAAAATGTTTTATTTTTTAAATGTTAAAGTGATTGACAGGTGTCGAAATATAATTGGGTGGGGATACTTAGGTGGAATGCTTACGTTGGCATACCCGTGCCAGGCAAGTTTTTCTCCCATTCATGACTCATTTCCAGCCTTTTTACTCTGTCATTGACAGCCTTTTTTAAGCACCCCTACCCTTTCCCAATTCAGAGACTCCCATGTGGTCCACACTCCCCATGTGCAAGCCAGACAGCCTTCCTCTCTTGCTAAAAAAAAGCTTCTCTGTTCACTGCACCCTTTCTTTCTCTCTGCTCTCCATCACCATTCTACTTAAAGATTCTAACTTTCCTTCAACAATGTAATGAGCCCCCTCTTTCTCTCTATCAATCTCCTGATCGTTTGGAATAATATGGAACCAACTTCTTGAAAGTTTACACCTTTCTGCAATACTTTGTACAAACCCACTCTCTCTCTCTCTCTCTCTCTCTCTCTCTCTCTCTGTGATTGTGTAGTTGTTTCAAGATGAAGAAGAAAACCCATTTTGGGTTCAAGTTTTTGACTATTTTCGTTACTGGGTTTTCTTCATTTTTGCTGTGTGCCAACTCTCAAACAAGTTCCAGCAATGATGCTTCAGTAATGCTGGATCTCAAGAAGAGCCTCAACCCATCTGAATCTCTCGGATGGTCCGGCCCTGACCCCCGCAAGTGGAGCCATGTT